ATATATATATATATATATATATATATATAAGTATTTTAATTATACTTCCAATATAGTTATAAAAAAAAAGATTATATGCTACAAGCACACTAATGAAGAATGCAAATAAAAAGTATTTAATATTTATTTTTAAATAATTCAAATTATGTATTAAAATATATTTTATTCATTATTTTTTATAAGTACTGAATTAAGTGCTGAACTTGTTTTTTTTTATAAGAAAGTTTATCAAACATTTATTATTATTTTTTCTAAAAGAATCATTAATTGAATAAAAATATTTTAAAAATATAATTAATACAACCAAAAATTAGAAAAGAGTCTTATTAAAAAAATAAAATAAAAAGTAAAAAAGTCTTATATACATTAATATCTTTTAAACACTTATTAACAGTACATAAATTTGTCCCCTTAAACCACGTTGAAGCAAAAGCATGAAAACGTTACTTGTCTCTCTACGTATGTATATGGTTCAGGATACACAGATGACGACCAAAGAAGTGTCTGAGGGCAAAAATGAAGTTTTAAACCAAAAAAAAACTCCAAACATGGCACTAGAAAAAGAAATTTTTACCAAAACATGGGGTCTCGTATTAAGTACTTTTCATTGCACATGGATTGTGTTGATGTAATGTAGTATTATTATAAGTTTGCTTTGGGAAACGCGTCGTTCAATAAACTAGTGGTTCACATTTGGCATAAATGTAGGATCTTGCTAGATCACTAGGGGTGTTCCTAAACCTATTTCATCAACTTTTTTAGCTCACGCAATCACATTGGGCATTGTGAAATGAAACTATCTTAAAATGGCACTTAAGTAACATGGCACGTATGGAAGATTGTGTCTCTCCAATTCCTCTTAGCTTTAACATTCTCATTCATCACTCATCTTTGCTTTTAGCAATTAATTATGTCCAAATTGTCGAGGGTCCCTTATTGGATTCGGTATTCAAAGGAGAGGTCAAATACTTATCTATCACCCATAGTAACCTTTCTTCTTTAAATATATAATTAGTGATTTGATTTCTCATACATGTATGAAAAAATATTCTTTTGAGTTCAATTTCATAAATGAATTTTGGTATTTTAGAGATTATAAGAAATCTATATTATAAAATTTGTTTTAGATTGAAACAAGACTAATCTATGGATAACATTGTTAAAAGTTGAGCTTTAATTTCACAACAAAAAAATTGTTGGTTATTAATTTTTATAAAGTAAAAAGACCGTGTGTAACATAAAAGGTTTTGCACATAACATAACGTACTAATTACTAACATTTGTAAAAAAAAAAAGTCTCATATATTAATAAAAATTGTTTTTTTAAGTTTAAGAAAAGGCTCAACATCCTTTTTTATTTAAAGAAAATAAATTGTTCTAAATTTTGGATACCATTGAATTGACTTTAAATTGAACCTAAAT